AAAGATGTTAAACAGCACAGGTCCTTTTGGGAAGGCATTATTAAGTCCCCCGATCCCATCCATGGCCTGTAAGACCTGTACGTGGGCTTTGTTAGCCACATGCTCCCTGGATGAAGCAACTGGGGTTTGACCACTGCCTTTTCAGGGGTCTTTACGGATTAGCACCTGTGCTTTGTACTGCCAGGGATGAATTCATGGATGATCCCAACAAACACAGCTGTAATCCACATTAGGTGCCAAAAACATCTTTATTAGCAAAGTGTACGCTAAAACTCCAGAGAAAGAGATGCTCACAGTTTTACTACTCTCAAAGGGAGCTCGATACATTACTTGAGGAGGCAGCCTAGGACTGTCACAGCATCTAACCGAATGGCAAGGCGGCAGTGCTAAGTGGGCTTCTCCTACGGGGGATGCTGTGGGAGTCTGCCGGGGAAAGGGCTGGGGAGGAGGAAGCATCTATCAAACCTTTATCAAAAGAGAGAAGCTGGGAGGAAGGTCTGGAGATGAGGTGTTGTCTTTCCGGGATTGTGCTTTTTTTGAGTTTTGTGCTTTATGCCCACGCCAGTGACCAGTTGGGTTTATCTGGGGAGTTGTGGAATGCGTGTCGGAGTTTGCAAGGCGCGATCAGCCTTGCTGGAGAAGTCAGTGCCCTAGGACTTGTGCTGAAGCATGCTGCAGTGGCAGGGGCTGTTGGCCCCTAGTTTCTCAGTGGCAGTCACATAGGACAAGGAAAGCTTGTGTCCTTGTCCTGGGCTTCCCACCTGCAGCTCCCCCAGTACCACACTGTGGAGATCTCCTCCTCCGGTGACTACCCTTTCTGTAATGCCCACAGGCTCCGCTGGGCTAAGCCCAGTACCAATGCAATGGTCCCTGCTCCAAAGAGCTGACAGCAAAGTGGCCTCACAGCTAAGAGCCGTGGATCTGCTCTCCTCCGGTCGCCGTGGCTTGTGCTGTTCTCAAGAGGAAGCCTTGGCAAGGAAGAGGTGGTGGGTACCATTTGGCCTAGCCAGCTTGTTGGTGGCCATAAGAAAGAACTGCTCTGGGTTCACTATAATGTGCAAATGAAACCTACTCTATGGGAACCGCTGGAAAACGTTGACCTTGGAAGCCAGCCACTCTACGCTTTCTTTCACGGTGGCAGAAGACAGCTACAAATTATACCCCTGAGCCAATGGCATTGTCCTCCGTCTTACCCTTGCAGTCAAAATCAACATCAACTGACCGAGCTCGCAGTGGAGGTTCCTCTTGACTTGCTTCGCAGCCCCCACATCTCTAACTTCCAGGAAGCACTGGGTCGGAGAGGTGTCTCTGAATGTCCTGGTGCTCGGAAGATGCCTCCAAGTGCTCAGGGAGGGAAGGGAAACGAGAGCCCCGGAAGAGTCCCTGGGTATTTGGTGCCCTTTGGTGGGGAGGCTCTGGGTTCGGGAGAGGTGGGGAATGGTGCTCCTGCTCGGAGTAGACCGTCATGGTTTCGTCAGACGCCACAGTGAGGTGCATCCCACTCGACAAGGAGTCCCTGGATTTCAAGTGGAACTTTTCTACCTCCGTGTAGCTCGGGCTCTGGCGGGAAAGGAGGAACCAGTTGGGTTACAACAAAAGCAAAACAAAGTAGCCATGCTCTCTCCTCATCCCCTCAGGCTCCAAACCCCAAAATGTTATTTTTTGCCTGAGGAAGCCTCAGAGCAAAGGAACCCACTCCCCTCCCTACTGATGGGGCAACCTGGTAGTGCTGGAGATGATAGACTGTGCCCTGAAATCAGAGATGCAGCGGGCAGAAGCATCTAGGTAGTTCTACTCCCATTTCAAGACCCCTGGGCTTTGCCTGGACCCACAAGTGCTGGGCTGTACTTGGGGTACAGGGAGGCTGAAGGGAACCTCTGGCCCTCCGGGACCCGTCTGCTCCAGGAAAAAGGAAGCTCAGCCAGTGCTGAGCCAGGAGGGATGGTCTTACCTGCTCTGGGGTCATCGTCTCCTCATCCTCCAGCGGTGCACAGGGGGCGAGCGGCTCCAGACTCCGTGGGAGGATGCCGTACATGGCCAGGTTGTGGGAGGACGGCGAGATGGGGCTGTATGCGGGCGGCACTTGGGACAGCTGGCGCTGCAGAAGCTGGAGGATTATATTAATGTCTGATGACATCCTGGACTCCAGCCTGGGGACAGAGCAGCCCACTGTTAGTGCAGTGCATCCCGCTGCATCCCACGAGAGCCAGACCCGTGGCTGGGCAGGGGAGGCACTGGGGAGGAGGTGCCAATTCAGCTGCCCGAGGGTGATGATGCTTTGCCTGGTGCTGCTTGCTGAGGGTTTTAGAGAGCTCCCAACCAGCACTGACACAGGGAGATCGATCCTGCCGTCTCTCCTGCCGCACTCGGTCATCCCCTGTCCAATTTTTTTGTGAAGCCAAACTGGGAACTAGAGTGGGGAACTGAACAAAGCTATGGGGGGGGGGGGGGGGAAATTGCAATGGTTAGTTTTAATCTGGATGAATTCTCCAGGCCAGCTGCCTGTGCTGACAGATGGGAGCAAGGCAGGTTGGTGCCAACCATTTTTAACTGAGGAATAGAAGGAAATGGAAAAGTAAAATAAGTCTCTTCCTTCTGCCTCGTCCTTGAAATGAGCAGCTCTGGCAGGAGTGGGCACAGCCCCCCTTGCAGGCAACGGTCCTGGCAGCACTTACAGAGTGGATGGGAGATCCAGGCCCTGCTGCCGGGGATGGTGCATAGGCGAGAGACCAAAATACGTGTGTGGGCTGTGCGGTGAAGTGAGTTTATCATGGGCAGCAGCCGTGGGCGGGAGAGCCAGCCGCTCATGTGGGCGCTGCCAGGGGCCTTTAAACCTCCATCTCCGGTGTGGGCTCTTGCTTCTCCTTCAAAACTCATGCCTTTTTTCTTATTTAGAGGGCAACGTGCACGGGGCTTGTTTGCTCGAACAAGAGGATGTTTGCATCTCTGCAACAGGAAGAGGAGGCCTGCAAAAGGCTCAGGTCGTGAGTGGTTTCATGTCTGTGATTGCATCGAGTTTGGAGGCAGTGGCAAAGTGGCAGATCCCAGGGGTGGTGGGACAGCAGCAGATGTGGTGCTGGGCTGCAGCCAGGGCCAGGACTTGAACTTTGAGAAGCTGCTGCATGTGCAGAGTGCTCTCACCACCTCTCCAAGGAATGCAGTGTCCCAGGGGATCAGGGGTGGCATCTGCTGCACACAGAGCCCACGGCAGCCACCCCTGGAGAGCAGGAGAAGGTGATGGGAGCCCCCCTGGGTGCTCTCCAACCCTGTGCCCCAGGGACCTACCCACCTGCTGAGCTGGGCTTGCAGGAGCTCCAGCCTGGACTCGATCTGCCCTGGTCTGTAGTCGCTGTGCTGGCGGATGTCCTGCGAGCTGTGTACCAAGGAGATGTGTTGCAAAGGCTCCGGGTGTTGATTTGGCCTTCGGTCCTCCCAGAAGGTGAACATGTTGGGGATGTCCAGGGGGGTGGCTGGAAGGAAAGGAGACATCTCATCACTTCTGTCTTGCATCCCTCAGCCCCACTGGCCTGAAGTTGCTCCAGAGTCTATAGAATACACCAGATTTTCATGGAGAGCCATCAGCCTGACCTACATGGTGCTCAGGGAGAGTCCATCACCCTAGCATCTGAGGTGCTCATGGACAGTCCGTCACACTGGCACCCAACATGCCTATGGAAGGCACATTGCATTGGCCCCTGGAGGCAGCCCCAAAGGGATCCCTGGTGCTAGGAGGAACTGCAGGGCATGACAGGGACAGAGCAGATATTACGGGGGACAAAAGGCAGCAAAGACCCTTGGCCACAAGCGAGGCTCCCCTCAGATTCCTGTGAATTCCTTGGCTCTGCACCAAGACAAGGCCACTGTACCCAAGCACCCCTCACCACCCTCCTGCCAGCTGTGGGTACCTGCGTAAGACTGGCTGCTCTCTGCTGCCTGCTTGCCAACCTCTGGGCCGCCGGCGCCGGTGGTGATGAGGCTGAGCGTGGGCAGAGCAAAGTCATCCTTTTTGGATGTGGTGAAGGGCTCAGCTTTCATAGGGCTGCCAGTCTTGGCCTCGTCGTCGCTGATCTGGGAGCAGGGAGTGGTGCTGCTGCCCAGGTCATCCCACTGGTCCTTACTCAGCGGGTCCTGCGGGTTGGTGAGCTCTGAGTAGGTGTGGTATTGCTCTGCATCAGAGATGCCCGTGTCTGGGTCTGTAGGGCAGCACAACAGGTTAATTTGAGGAGTACCACACATGGCAAAGTCAGCCCCCATCTCCTCTAGGGTGCCTGTAGGGCTGGAGAATCCTAAGGAGAGGGAGGGAGAGAAGGCAATATGGGTGGCCCCATGGTGGGGACACACAGGCTGGTCTGCAGGGATAGAGGCATCGACAGCCACCTCTGCTTCAGGGCACCTGTCAAGCCGGTAATTAAATGATGATCCTGCTCCCCAGCCCTGCAAGCCAGGCTCTGCCGATTCTGTGGGACTCACCAGGCTTGTTGGGCTGGCAAAGGGAGTTCTTGCGTCGGCGTGCCCGCCGGTAGGTGCAGTCATACTCCTCACTGAGCGGTGAGCGGGGAACGCTGTCTGCCTGAGGGATGAGAAGGGCTGGTCACCAGGGAAAGGGTGCCATGTCCTGTCCCTGGGTGCCATGACCCTGGGTGCAACAGGGGCTAGGGCCCATACAGCATCCTCCTAGGGCTGGTCCCCATCCACCTCTGTCTCTCTTCTGCCCTGTCCCACCCAATGACACCTGAACTGGTTGTGGAGCTCAGGGGATCCTAGAGGCTGGCCTCAGTGCTCTGAGACTGAGCACTGAGGATGTCAGGGCCATGGGGAGGGAAGAGCACCCTGGGATGGGACAGGACATAGAGGGAATTTGACTTCCTTTTCTGTCTTTCCATGTGTCTCTGAAAAAAGTGTCAGGAAAGGTCAAAATCCAGTCATAAGTTCAAGAGTCAAACAGTAATGACAAAAACTCTCCAAACCTTTCATGGATTGCAAACATGGTTATTTTAAAAGGAATGTTCAGAGGAAGCTTGTACCTAACTGCTGACATCCTTGCTTCAGCCCTCCCATTTGCCAAATTTAAGGCATTGACCACATCCCTCCCTAGGACAGCCCTGGCACTCACATCTCGCAGGTTGAAGGTTATCTCTAAGTTGCTCCAGAAGTTGTCAGAGAAGGCTGGGTACATGTCCAAGACCTCCAGCAGGTCCTCCCGCTGGATCTTGTGCAAGTCACAGTAGGTCAGGGCCCTCACGTCGGCATTGGACTTCCCTGGGCGAGCGTAGAGGCTGATGGGCTCCCCAAAGATGTCGTTCTTTCCTGTGCCAAGAGACAGCTCATTGAGGGGAGGTGGGCACCCACACCAGCTCCAGATATACTGGACCAGCAGACCCCACTTTGGGGCTCATGATCAAAGGGATGTCCAACAACCCCAACCCTGATTGTGGATACTGGGGATTATGCTGTGAAAGCCATCACTGATGGGGAGACCAAGCCAGAGCAGAGGGTCATCAGTGATGCCTGGGTAATGCTGAGCCATGCCCCGCTCTCCTCACTCTTTTGTGGCCTCTTCCTGCCATCTTCCAGGAGCCTCCATTCCCTGTCCACTGGTGTGGTGACCAGCCAGAGGTTGAGGAACAGCCCTCCCTTCTCAAGGACCTGCAGAAGTTCTTCACCCCTCACCTGCCACCCTCTGGTCCACTGCTCATTGCCCATCACCCTTCACGCATCCCTCCTTGCCCATCACCCCTCGGTGTCCCAGAAGGAAGGACTTTTCCACCTAAGATGGCCACCACAATGTCTTCCCGGAGAATCTCAATGGAGCCCCTGGAGATGAAGTAGAGTGTGGTGAGGACATCTCCGTAGTGCACCAGGGTGTCTCCAGGCGGCGCATGGGTTGTCTTGAACTTCATGGCCAGGGCGCGCAGGCAGCCTTTGCTGGCTCCTCGGAAAGCCTTGCAGTTCTGCAGCAGCGTGCGGTTGAGGTGGAGGCAGATATCTGCCTGCAGGCAGTCGGGAAAACCCTTCAGCACCTGCAAAGAGCAAGGGAGAGGTGCCATCGTGACACTGTCCCCGGGAAGTACCGCTGTGGCAGCGCTAGGAGGCTGTGTGACACACGGCGTGACATGGTGGGACCAAATGGGGAGCCCAGGAAGCCAAAGCTGGGGACATCTGATCTTCTCTTGGCCGATGCCTGCCTGTCCCTGGCTTGTACTGCATGTGGCCAGGGATGAGAACACGCCCAAGCAATAAATAATAATAAACAGATCAATCTGTTCATACCCACTGGTGGCATATCCCCCTTTTGATCGTTACGCCCACTAATCTTGGCTGAATGAGAGCATAAACTGGTTAACGAGGTGCTGTCCTAATTAAACAGCACCTGCCTGAATGCCAAGAAGCAGCATGGGCCAGTTGTGTGCAGCAACAGCTAAATATACCCGTGGCAAATACCTCACATTGAACAAAAGCTAAATCTGAAGGTAAAATCAAGGTAAAACTCGCAATATAGAGAAAGCTGCTGCCACCAATGGCTCATGGTGCCAGAGTAAAATCCACCTGGGTTTGGAGTTTTCTGGAGAGCAGAATATGGCCCCGGGGTCCCCCTCTATTCTCACTCTTCTTGCTGGTGGCCAAATCTGGGATAACCAGGCTGGGGCTGGCAAGCATGGCTCATAGCTGGCTCTGACATGATCTCACAGGCTGGCGGCAGTGCCTTAATTTCCCTACTGGGAAATCAGGGGTGGACCAATTGATCGGGCCGTGGGATGATTGATTAGATCATATTGCATCTCAGCAGCATCCAGAAGGAATCGGTGTGAGCGGCAGCACGTCCAAGCTGCAAGCTCAGCTCATCACAGGGGATTTGTGACCTGGGTTTGCACTAAGCCAGGAGAACCTGTGCTTGGTAGGGTGCCACGGCTTTGCTTCTAGTTATTGCCACCGATGTCCAGGCCAGGGTGCCTCCTCCATGGAAGAGGTTTAATCCGATGCTCTCCCAGCAGCAAATCCCCAAATGCTGCCTAGTTGTTTAACGAGGCAGCAGCAGTGGAAGATGGAGAGGTTGAATTCATTCAAATCCACGTCCCACTAGTGCCCAGGGATGGAGAAAGATCAAGTCTTAGGAAAAAAGGGGGCATGAGCTGGGAATGAGCAGCCTAATGGCCTGCCCAGGGCTGAGAGACAGGGAGTACCAGGTCCCATCTCTCTCTTTGCCTCATCCTTTCTCATTCCTTTCTCTGCCTTGCAGCCAGCTGAGCCAGCACGTTTGTGTGCTGGACCCCGTGGCTGTGACCCGAGTTCTGCCACCCCAGCCCCAGCCTGGGACTCCCCAGCTGAGCCCCCTCCTCACCACCGTGGTGCCCCAGTGCCATCGGCAGAAGCCTCCCCGCCAGGCTTGGCGACACGGTGCCTCTCCAGAGCGGCTCCGCCATTGATCCCCCCTTTGCTAACAAACAGCTGCCTCTCAGGGCTCTAATTAAAATGGATCGAGGTTTATTTAAATGCCCTCCTTTCCCTGCCGCCGAGAGCGGGATGCACTTTGCTTAGCAACCGGCAGTGTAGAGAGGAGCTGGATCGATACCGGCTCCACAGCTCTGTAACACCAACAGACACTGCCCTGAAAGTGCTCGGCACCGATGGGGGCTCTGAGCTCCTCACCAGCACGCCGGCGCCAAACCCGCTCTCCGGCCAAGAAATGCCATCATGGCCCTGGAAAATGTCTGGATAGGTGTGGAGGGAGAGGAGGAGAAAAGGAAACACGGGGCAGACAGGCAGACAGACTCCTAAGTCTTCTGCCTTCTCTCCGCCGTGGTCTAAGGGATGGAAAGGTTTGGGTGGACCCAGAGATTGACTCTGTGTCATTCAGGACAAGATGCCGTGAGGACATGGGGACTCCCCAGCCCGCACTCACCGCATTCATGTCGATGCCGTTGGTGTAGGACCAGGCATGCTGGAAATACTCCTCCAGGCGCTGGCGCAGGGGGTTGGGGATCTGGTGGAAGCGGATGAACTCTTTGACCCGCAGCATCTGCGTGTGGTAGCGGGCTGTGCCCGAGTACAGGCGCTGGATGATGGCAGAGACGTTGCCGAAGATGCTGGCATACATCAGAGCTGCAACGAGAGGTCAGGACTCAGCAGGACATGGGGACATGCATGTCCAGCTACCTCAGACCTGGAAACAGTAGATTTCCAAACCCCTTATCACCATGAACCTGAAACCAGTGGGTTTCTGAAACCTGTATTTCTATCTACCACTCCATCCATTTGTCTGTACAGAAGAGGCATAGGCAGAGGGAAATGCTCTCTTAAAATCCCACGTGCTCTCCCCTTTTCTCCCCAGAACAGGCCCTCCAACCTCCAAAGCAGGGACGGGGACAGCGGGACACACGCAGGCACTCACAGCCGATAAGCATGACACAGATGGAGAAGATCTTCTCAGAGTTGGTGTTGGGTGAGACGTTGCCAAACCCCACGCTGGTGAGGCTGCTGAAGGTGAAGTAGAGGGCAGTGACATATTTATCCTTGATGGATGGGCCAGAGGAGAGGTCACTGTCGTTGTAGCGCTTGCCGATCTGGTCACCCAGGTTGTCCAGCCAGCCGATCTTGTGCTCCATGTAGGGCCGCTCCACGTTGCCAATGGCATACCAGATGCAGGCCAGCCAGTGGGCGATGAGGGCGAAGGTGCACATGAGCAGGAAGAGCACGGCTGCTCCGTACTCAGAGTAGCGGTCCAGCTTGCGGGCCACGCGGACCAGGCGCAGCAGCCGGGCGGTCTTCAGGAGGCCGATGAGGGTGGTGGTCTGCAGGAGAGGAGGTGAGAAACCTCAGGGACAAGCAGGGGATAAATCTAGCCAAAGAAAGGCACGTCTTCTGCCTAGCCACGCTCCCTTTGAAGGATAAAAATATAAAAATGCATTTCTAGAGCATGAATCAACTTGTGCTGGAGGTGACATCTGAAAGAGGTTAGATGGATCGTGCCACAGAAAGGGCAGTTTCCCTCCAGTGACCATAAAGGGAACAAGTCCTAGGATTACAGGTGAGCAAGCGAGAGGAGCCAAAGCCAACCCCATGTTTCCTGATGGGTCCTCACCTTGCCAACCGTTACTTCCCAAACAGCCACCTTTCACCCCACCCCACAGGCTCTCAGCCGACGTGGGGCCTCCGCATAGTGCAGTAACGATAGGAGCTGTGCCATTGTCAACATTTTGAGTTCAGCTGGCAATGCAAAACCAAATTTGGCCTCATTGGAATGTGGGGCCAGTCCCTAAACTGAGCTCCCAGCCTGCTTTGCTGGGTCACCCCCAGAGGGGAGTGGGTCCAGTTAGACACTACCTTAGCACATGCAGTAGGGTCGGTGGGGCTCTCTGACCCTACTCAATAAAACCCCAAGTCCAAAATGCTTAACAAAAACATGTAATAACACCCTTGCCCATCCCTCTGACTGACCAACCCTCTCCTTGGAAATCTAGCTATCTACTGCTTTTATCAACCCATATCCCCCTCTTTCTCTCCCATACTTCTTTCCCCATCCATCCATACATCCCCTCCTGTCCCGATGGACCTCCAGGGCCTGCCTGTACCTCGTCAGAGCCGGAGCGGAAGATGAGCAGGTCAAAGGGGATGGCGGCAACCATGTCAATGAGGAACCATCCCTTGAAGTAGTGGATGGCGATCTTGCCAGGGTGGCTCACCACCTCGTCATTGATGTTGACATAGGTGGTACGGAAGTTGATGACAATGTCGACAATGAACATGATGTCCACGATGAGGTCGATGATGTTGAGTGGGTCACAGGAGTAGCTGCAGTCCCAGTGCTTCTCCTCCACCTGCTCCTCGTTGAGCAAGAAGGCCGCTGAGTAGGGGGTGAAGACGGCTGTGTAGATGACCAGCAGAAGGATAAGCCAGTCCCACACGGCCTTGAAGGGACTGTAGTGCAGGATGGTCCATCGGTGGATGCGTGGCGCCTGCAGTTTGTACTCAGGAAGGACGTCAGCGCCCAGGGACAGCACCTGCCAGGACATAGGTGTGAGGATGACAGGAGACCAGGAGAGAGGTTGGATAAGGCCAAAAGCCAGGTAAGGGGCTCCCATGTGCTGGTAGGGCAGTGAGGAGCATGCAGTTGGTTTCCTACACCCTTTTCACCTTTGTGGCCTTCATGTGTGTTTGTCCAGGAGGCCACAAGCTGAGTTGCACACAATGCCTGACACCAAGTTGTCATCTCTAGCGGCCAGAACACCCCTGGGGCAAGTGTTTACCCCCCTTCATGCCTTTCAGACCCTCCCACACTGGCAGGGATGAAAGTGTCTCCTGTCATGCCTCCTTGTGCCTTCAGCTCTGTGTCACCAGCCCGGGAGTTGCTGGGTGTCCCTGGCAGGGGGCTGTGGGGACAGCTCTGGGGACATCCCTTTGCTTGGGCCACCCTCAGCAAAGCCTGGCCTCGGGCAATGCCCATTTCTGAGCATTCCTGGGGAGGGGGTGACCTGTGGCCACCAACGTGCAAACACCATCTCATGCACACAGACACCCTCCCATATTGTCATGTGTCCCCAGGTCTGTCTGCCCACATGGTGACAGGCTCCCACGGCACCAGTGATTCCCCACATGTCCCAGGCCTATCCCATCTCCCCCCTCCAGGACCAATACCAGTTCCTGATGAGCTCTGAAGCCACCCTGAGGACGCAGTGCAAGGCACTGGGGACCAGGAGGGTTGTCCTGCTTTGGGTGCTGAGAGATGGTGGCATGAAGGGGCTTATTTGGAGCTGGGGCTGCCGGATCCTCCCTGCCTGCCCCTCCACTCCGCTGTCCCCCGGGTGTCCCTGTGGTGCTGGCCACCAATGCCATCTATGGAGGTGGGCGAGGGGTACCTCAGTGCCCTCTCCCGGCACCAAGACCCCAGCTAAAAGGGTGCTTTTTGCTGGGCTGTGAAGGAGAGGAGGGAGGCCACAGTGATGAACACCACCACGACTGACAATAGATCAGGAAGAAGGGCCTGATCCTTCCTGCACTGACACCCAGCTTGTTCAAGGGCATCCCAAAGGCTC